AACACAGTAGGGGCCTTAGACCTGGGGAAGAGGAGTCTTTTGATTATTAAATAACTCCTAGGGAAAATTCTCCAATCCCACTTCCCGCATTGACCCCACTTTCCGCATTTTCACCGGTTTCATGTTAGGACCACTGGAAGAGCTTTTGATAGCCCACTCCTCTCCACTCCTGTCCCCCAGTGTGGGGCCGGCTGCTTGCAAGGAGACTTAAGGGGAGCGGTAGAATGGTCTGACCAGGAGACGGGTACTTGGGGTAAAGAATGAAGAGAGCTTGGAGCAAGGGTTCCTTGGGAGAAGAGAAGTCGACAGTCCCCACAGGGTTAGAGAGAGAGCTCCGTATCCAGGCCATGCGAGGCCCAGCGGGCTCGGGGCCACCTTGCGCGGCTGCTCGCTGGCGCCTCTGAGGCCCCAGCCTGGCTGTGAACTTGGTCTAAGGCGGACTCTACTGGCAGCTCCGGGACGTTACAGCCTCTGCCTCTCGGCCAGCGCAGCGGCCGCGCAGGCGACCTGTGCTCTTGGTTTTCCTTGAGCCCAAATACTTCGCCCCCGTCTCCTCACCTCTGACAAGACAGAGTTTTCATTCCTCTTTCCCTAGGGGCCCTCGAGAGTGGTAAAACAGAAAAGAGAGAGCAAGTTAGAGAGACACACCCACAGAAAAAGAGAAAAATGGAACAAGACTACAGAAACTTGGAAGATGGGGATTACCCTCCCTGCTGCCTCCAACTCTCCGAGATGAGATGTTCCCACTTGCTGGGATTTCCCTCCACTTCTCCCCTAAATGTTGCTTACCAGGCTGAACCCCCTCCTTTCCACCTGACCTTGATCATCTCTTGGCTAGGCAAGCCAGACTGGGCAAAGCACCTTTCCTCCCCAGATGTATTCATCTCTAGCCCAGAGGGCTCTGAGGTTCAGGGATCCCTGCCACCAAAGCGGGCCGGAGCTTGAGCTCTGGAGCTTGAGGCAGCAGCCAAGGCCACGGTTTGGGGGATCAGCCGGATTCCACTCAGAGAGCAAAGCCAGAGCACAGCTGGGCAGCCTGGGAGCATTTCCAAGGAGGAGAAGCTAGAGGATGCTGCACAGAGTGCATTTTCCTCTCCAAAAGGAAAGTTAGGAAGAGAAGAGATGGGCAGAGGACACCTAAAACAGAGACAGGGAGGAGAAATAAGGGGAAGAGAGATTAAACTTTGGAAAGGTGGTGATATTCGGGATCGGACAGGTCCCGAATTGCCTGAAGTCCAATCCTCTCCAGTCTCCTAAGTCCCCCATTTCCTCTTGGAGCCGAAATGTGGGTCTCAGTAAATTCTCCAAAATAAAAGAACGCAAAATCCTCCTAAACCTGTCAGCATGCCACTGCCCTGGCCAGAGCAGCAGAGGTAGCGGTCCCACCCGTGGCCAGTAATGTATGCGGCAGCGGCTGGCAGCCCCAAGTAGGCCGGCGCTCCAGCCCCGGTCTGCTGACCTCTGCGTGATCCCGGACTCTATGAATTATTGATGAGATATGAGCGTTGATTTCCCCTTTCAGGATGCAAACTCCATTATATTGTTAAAATGGCGATTTAATCGTTGAGAATAGCTTTGGTGTGGGTTTTTTCCCCCAACTCATTTGCGCCTCCTTCCTTTTCATTTAACTCTCTTAATTAAATCCTTTAACAGATTTTAATCACTTTTTGGAGGGAGGGGTAGAAGGAAGGGGTAGGCCATCACTACCACCACCACAAAACACTAAAGCAAAACCAGCTTCCAAACCAGAAAAGGCTTCTACCTTGGGGAAGTTGAAAGGAAAGTGGGAAGGGGCAGTGACCTCTCTATAAAGGTCGAGCTGAGATCATGTACCAAAAGATCCATCCATCTGAGGACTAGGGCACCTTAACTCTGACTAGGAAAAGTCAGCCAAGCCTGGGGGTTATCTAATTCCATGCCCCCCACAGGAGATTTGGTGTGGGTCCGACTATAGAGACTAAGTCTCGCCTATCCCTGCTGAGAAGTACGGGGACTGAGCTTGGGGGAAGCCACATGATTCTTGTGGGAAATGACTCCCCAGTCTTTGCCCCTGAGACACTTAGAGAGAGTGTCTTAAGGAGCCCCTATTTTCCCCTCCCCCTCCTCAGTTTCCAGGCGATGTCTGGGTTAATTAATATGGATGTGTAACAGCGCTGCAGCAGTCGATAAATCCCACTGTGGGCAGATCCCAGCCTGAAATCCGATTACTCCTAGAATCTCCCAAAATGGAGAGAGTGACCAGTGGGCTCTCCCTTAACAGAAGGGAGGGGTTCTTGCTGACCCTATCCTCCTTAGTTGGCCCTTGGTCTTCCTCAGGCTGTGAAGTACATGTCTGTCCCTGAAGGGACTGAGTTTGGGGAATTGTGCAGAGTGGGCTGCCTTCTCCCTTGCTCTGAATCCTTTGGCTTTCTGCCCTCCCATCCAGACCCCAGGGATAAAGAAGCCTCTCCACACCCTGCCCCCGCCAGCCCCCAGTGAATACCTTCTCACAGCCAGGGAAGGGTTAAGTGTCCCCGCTGCAGTTATGGAGAGGAAGCCAATGAAATATGGGCCCTTGGAACTCCAGCCCCGGCTGGCTTTCCTGTTTACACTTCTTTATACTTCCTCCCACCCTGAGGCCACAGAGAAACAACGAAAAACAAAACAAAACAAAAACAAAACCAAATAAAACAAAACAATCAAATTGTCTACTGAGTAGTGGTCAGGCTGGCCTCCAAGAGGAAAGGGAACTGCTGCCGCCTCCTGGGCCTGGGCTGTGCCCCAGGTTGAGGGTGGGTCCATTGGCTGGGAGACTGGGCACAAGGATCTGCCGGATAGTACCAGCCTGAAGCTCAGAAGGTTGAGGCCTGGACCAAGAGGAAGCGGGTGGGAGAAGAAAAAGAGAAAAGTCCCAGAGAGACCTGGAGAATGACGTGAGGAAGGCAGGAGGAAAATGTGCTGGTCTGGGGCAGAGGACAGAGTTCCTTTGCACTAGAGACCCCTTCTCACCTCTCATCTCCTCCCCAAACTCCCAAACTCGTCCTTGTTGGGGTTCAAGGGAGACTGTTGCCCAGAGAGCCTGAAGTGGGGAAGAGGAAAGCCCAGCTAGGGCATCTTCTCCAGGATCCACTTAGAGCAGAAGACCCTCCAAGGGTTTTGGCCTCCACAGAGGAAATGGGCACCCCGCAGAGGAAATGGGCACCCCCCCCCCCAGACTGCTCTTTGCTATTCCGGAAAATCTGTCTAGATATGCCCAGCAGATATCCTTGGGCTGCAGATCCCACACACTCTTTATCAGAATTTGCAGAACTGACATAAAGGGGGAAAAATCTTCAGGGACAGGCCTGGTGGTCTGGGGTTTCTGAGAGAGGGAAGCCAGGGTCACAATAAGATGGGACTTCCAAGAAGGCCCCAGGTTGGATTCTGCCCCTGCTGCAGCTTCTTCTGCACCTCACTCAGCTCATCTGCCTTGTCCAAAGTGGAAACCTGTGGAAGCTATGACTGTAGCATTTATTAGTATTTGATATGGTACTGGGAATCTTTTGGGAGAAGAGCCTCCTTTCCAAGGTATACAAATGCCCCATCATTTTGGGGAAGATGTGCCTTCAAATCAGAGTGAGGACTCCAAACTCTCTTTCCTTTTCACTCTCCACGCCTGAGAAGGGTCTCCTGTAAGTCAGACCTGTGCAGGGATTGAAGAGCTCAGGGAACAGAGGGTGGCTGCTAAAGGGAGAGGACAGAGGGAGAGAGTGGGAATGTTCTTAATGGAAATAGAGGGAATTTTGTGACTCTCTCTTTGTCCCAAAGATCAGAAGCCCCTTAAGGTGCCACATGTCCAATTCCAGGCACTATCCACAGGAATTAGTAAGCTGAAGCACAGCACGAGCAGGCAAAAGCTGGAGGGACAGGGTGGTTGACCCAATAGGTCTCAAAATTGGGCAGTCAATTTAGTGGAGAAGAGGCCTCTGTTTTTAGAAGAGGGACTTACCCTTGGAAAATAACAGGTCCCTGAAGATCAAATAATGAAATCCCTCCGGTTTGTGGTGCCACAAAACAAAGGGACTTTTAGTGGTCTGACAGAGAGAAAAGAGGACAGGATAGGACGGAAAAGAGAGCACCTTTCCAATTTTATCTCCCAGCTCCTGCATCGTTTTTCCCCCCTCCAAACAGTTGGGGTGTACTTTCTTGAGCAAATTTTATTTATGGAGAGATTTCCAGGGACCCACTTAAGCACCTAACCCCTCTAGGCAAGGAAAGAAGCTCTCCCCTTTTGCCCACTGCTGGCCAGAAATTAGGTTTTGGATCTCAGGGGATTGTCCCCCCCACCTCTGTTCACTCCCCACTCTAACCTCAGGACCCTACTTAGAGCCAAGCAGAAGGGTTGGCTTGGCTGAAGTGGGGTGCAAACGTGCCATGCTCCCCATCTTGGACAACCCTGATGAAGCTATGGGGAATCAGAGGTACCCCTTTCATGGGGCTCAAAGATCTGAAAGCCGGGGAGTGTCCCAGTGCAAGGCAGCCCAGAGCAGCTGCATTAGGTTCCCGGTGCTTTTTCTCAGCTCAGATGTATCCAGATAAAAGTGCCCAGCGGCGCGCCCCCAACACACCCCTAACAAATGAATGTCATAAAGTTTCTTTCCTGGGGTGGGGAGATGTCTGTCTGAAGATATCCAACAGTGAAGTGGCCCCCACAAGGGGCCCTTCTTTCAGTAGTACACAGCCCTCCTTCTTACCAGCTAAATTTCCAAGGGCACTGAAGGACCCCACACAAGCCCTTTTCCCCACAAAGAATCAGATACCATTGCAAATAAAAACCAGGTACCTCAGCTACTGAGGCCTTCTTGAACTGAATGCCCCCCCCCCACCTCCACCTTCAGACACCCAGCTTGTCAGATCTTGGAGCAAAAAGCAGACTAAATTTCTCCCACTTATCCTACAGCCCTGCCGGAGGCAAGATTTCCTTCCCCAGTTCCAAGCCCCAAAATTGCAAGGGGAGAAAGCAAAAGCTGGAAGCCACTTACTGCGGGAGTGCTGGGCCTCCGCTGCCGCCACTGCCTTCTGGGCTAGGAGAGCCCTCACCTACCTCTGCCCCCTTCCCCACCACAGCGAGCAGTTAAAGTGTCACTTAACATTCTGGAGAATGTGAAATATACCGCGCGGTGTCAACTCCCCAAAACCATAAAACTAACTTTATGGACCTCACGTGACTTTCTCGAGCCAGTGAGGGGTATCTGTCTGACTTCTCCGCGATTTTTACGATCTAACTTCAAGATAAAACCCCTATCCATTTGACATCTAAATGTCATAGCGACTTTTGGGATAGTTTGCTATGGACAAAGGGGGACAAAGTCAAGGGGTGAGGGGGAAGGAGGGCCCAGTAGAGCCTCCGCGACCCTCGGCTGCCTCCTCACCAGCTTCCCCTCCCCCACAAGTCCTGTAAGAAGTTGGGCCAAGCTGGAAGGGATGTACGGGTAAGTGTTCAGACTTGACTCTTGCGCTCAGGGTAGAGGCTGACTTGGATGGAGGAGGACTGGGCCCTGGCCTTGGGCCAGTCTAACTGGAGGGGAACCAGGGGTCTTCCAGGAGGGACCCCCAAGTCCTAATCAAGAGGAAAGGTCAGTTAGGCCCCTGGGGAGAGAGAGCCCTTGAGAAGTGCAGAGAAGGCTGAGGGTGAGAGGAAACCTTTGAAATCCAACTAATTTTCTTTTTTTTTTGCCTTAGTGGGTGGCAGAACTGAATTGGAATTTGGAGCAGGGCACAGGGGACTGGGTAAGCCAGTACCACTCCCAACTGGCCAGGAGCCTCCTGCTCAGGATTTAGGCCCAAATTACTTTCCCTGAAGAGGTTTCCAGAGGCTTTTCTGACCAGCTGGTAGAAGGCCAGGGTGAAGTCCAGCTCAGCCTTTCCTTACCCCAGCCCCACATGGGGTTTCTGGGTCTCTAAGTCCCCCAGGCACGCAGGCCCGTCCTCTGACCCAAGCACTGCTGACCAAGCCAGGGACTTAGGTGGGTGAGAGGGGCTGCTAGTGAGCATCCTGTTTTCCCTTCCCTACTCCCCAGATCTATCAAGAATGGTCTAGGGTGTGCTCAGTGATGGGAGAGGCAGGCCTTCAGAGAAAAGACAAGTGGAAGGGCAATGGAGTAGGGAAACATTTATTTGACTTTAAGGAAAGCTACAAACAAATACCAAAAGCGAATCACTGAGACAGGCCCGGCAAAGATAGATTTCACACGTAGCACAGCATCCACTCGCTCACTACAAATGATCTTGGAAGTGAAATGGATGGGGGAAGGAGATGGGTCTGACCCAGACTATCCCCATATTTACAAGCTTTGGGCCCTCTACACCAGACCCTGGATTCACAGAGAAATACACAAGACATTTTACACTGAGGATTATTTTGTTTCCGTACACTCCCAGATCAGGCCTTGTGGGGCCTACCCAGGTGGCAGGAACTCAAATCTCACTATATGCCTTCCCTCTTCTCAACATCACCCCTTTGGTCCTCCCTGGCTCTTTCCCATCCCAGGACCAAACCAGTAAGAGACTTGGGCCTGGAGAGTGGAGAGGGAGGAGGAAAAGGAGGGTGGAAAGAGACACAGTCATGGACTCCATCTCTGAAGCCAGCTCAGCTGGGCCCCGGCACTGCGGCACCACCCCACCTCAACTGCTGCCCCTTAGAGAAGTTTCAAGCTGAAACTCAACATACAGCGATCATCCTTTTATAAATAAGTTAGAACAAGATGGGGAGGGGAAAGTTCACATTAAACATGCGAGTTTCTTTTCTTCCTGGGGGAAGGAGTGCAACCACAGACACGAACATTCAGAAACACTGGTGGATTTGGGGTGAGCAGAGGGGAGCTCCTCAAGGAGCATGGAGGGAAAATAATAATAATTATTATTAACAATAATAACAAGATTAACCAGTCCAGGAGAGAGGGAGCCACAGGAAGATCTAAGACCAAACGAAAAATGGTAACACAAGGCGGGGGCGAGGCAGGCTCTTGGGATCCAGTCCCCAGCGGGCGGCGGCAGCGCGGGGAGGCTCGGAGGGGTCGGGGCTGGGGGCGGCAAGGGCTCTTGGGCCGCCCAGGGCTCCTCCCGGAGGACTCAGGGCTGGAAGGCGCTACCGGCTGTAGCCAGGCTCATACTTTTCAGTTTGTTATCTTTCTTCCACTTCATGCGCCGGTTCTGGAACCAGATCTTGATCTGGCGCTCGGACAGACAGAGCGCGTGGGCGATCTCGATGCGCCGCCGCCGTGTCAGGTAGCGGTTGAAGTGGAACTCTTTCTCCAGCTCCAGGGTCTGGTAGCGGGTATAGGCGGTCCGGGCCCTTTTTCCGTCAGGCCCGGTCATATCTGAAGCAGACAGAGTAGAGCCATGAGGCAACGTTATTCCGGTTAAGGGAGGGGGCACTGGGTGGGAGGGGGGCGTGGAGCAGGACCCAGGCGTCCCCGGCCACCAGCTCACTGCAGCTCCAATCCTCCCCACTCCAGAGGCCCCGCATCCAAGCTCGCTTTCTGCACCCCTTTCTCCTGCAGCCCCCACTTCTGCCGGCAGCCGAAGCGCCCGGCTTTGTCTCTGGCTCCGTCCCTGTGCCTCACCCTTCGCTGGGCTCAGGCGGCCGCTGGCCCCGGGAGGGAGGAGAGCGGCTGCACTTTTGCCCTGGAAAGCTCCTTTGACTACTCGCCCCTCCTTTGCTAGTGGCAGTCACAAAATTTCGGGGGTAGGCAGGACCCTTCCCCACCTTACATAAACCCCATCCTTCATCCGAAAGCTAGTACAGCTGGGCGAATAAAACCTAAGCCGAGTCTGGGAACAAATTATTTAAAATACAGCTCCCCACCCCCACCCCCACCCCAGCTAAACACCTTCTTTGGCTATGTCCCCGGAGCTATGAGGACTCTCTTAGAGACTTCTGCCCCTCGGGGGGAAAAAATAAATCTATATTTGAGGAAAAGCCAACCTCTCCTCGTCGTCTCCCCCAAACGCAGAGAAGGAACGCCGAGAAGACAAAAAAAAAGGGGGGGGGGAGAATTACCATGGCTGATGTGAAGCTTCCTCATCCAGGGAAATATCTGCGGAGTCTGCCCCTCAGGCGCGGCTGTGGAGGTGGCCATGGGCTCTGGCTGCGCCCGAGCTAGGCTTGGGCTGTTTATCTGGCTCGTCGCTTCCTCAGGCTCCGAGGACGCGCTGGCCTCGTCTATTTCGGTGAAATTGGCGCTGGAGCTGGCCGAGGTCGCCTGGTCCGAGGGGGACGAGGCAGAGGGCTTGGCGCCGTGGCTGTCGCCGTTGGTGCAGGGCAGGGACTCAGGCGAGGACAGGGAGCAGCTCGACGCCGCTGGCCTGAAGCGGGGCTCCTGGGCGGGCGCGGGGAAGGCGCGCGAGCTCTCGCCCACCGCCCCAAAGTGGCTGGAGGAGGCCGAGGAGCGGTTGACGCTGAGGTCCATCCCATTGTAATTGTAGCCGTAAGAGCCGGTGTGCATGGCAGCGGGATCCCTGTAAGAGCCGCTCAGAGAGCTGCCACTGCCATAATTTAGCAACTGATAGTCCGGGCCATTTGGATAACGCCCCGAGAAGGAGTTTACAAAGTACGAGCTCATTTGGGTGATTTTGGAGGGCTTGATTTGTGGATCGTGGTCGTTATAACCCTGTGCTTCACGATTTATGATGTATTAATGAATTATAGCGATGCACTGTACTTCGTTTTGCTATGTATGCGGCCAAATATGGGGGGGGGAGGTGGAAGGGGGATGGGGGGGCGTTAGGGAATCACGTGCTTTTGTTGACCAGTCGTAAATTCTCGCTGATGACCTCAAGAGGTAATTCATGCTCTATGGTTACAAATAATGACGATCCGAGAATCGTTAGGGCCGATTCAATGCGAGCCTCAGAGAGAGGGGGAAAAAAGGAGAAGGGGGAGAAACTGGGAGAAGGTTGGCGGCGGCCTCTGAGCAGAGCGCGCCACCTCCCGGCAATCGGCGGGAGCGCGGGCCGCAGACCGCCATGGCGGCGAAGGCTTGCTGCCTCCCTGCTAGCTACCCGCAAACGCCGGGCGAGCAAGAAACCCCGCCTAGAGTCACCCGCAGGGTTGAGTCTTTTAGAGGAGGGACCCAGTGGAGCCTTTATTCACTTTCTTGGGAGTATGGTTACTTCTCTCTATTTGTGTTCTTCTCCCTATCATTATTATTTTAACTCTGGATCAAACACTGAGTTGCTTTTCCCTTACTCGGGTTTTGCAAGTGTCTGAGTAGGGGGAGGAAACAAGAGAGAGGGTAGGAAGACACGCGTGAAAAACAATTATTGAAATGGAGTCGTCCCTCGGCCCCCCCCCCGCCCCCCCGCAACCACCACCACCACTCCAGCTCGGCCTGGCCTGCTTCTCAAGGGCCTGCAGTGGCCCTCCACAGCGCTCAGGCCGAACTGGTAGGGCAGGGCCGAGGGTTCGAAGGAAAAACTTTCGCTTCCCTTGCATCCCTTAGATTCCTCTGCTTGGCCTCCTTCCCATCCTTAGCCCAGCCTGGGGAATGACAGAGCAGAACAGGGACCCCAAGTAGGAGCATGGCTGGAGCTAAGCGGCCTAGTTGTGGGAAAAACGGTGGTAGCGACCGCATCGGCGTCCGGGGTCTAGATGGAAACATGGTTTTGAGAGTTCGGCATCAAGGCAGGAGCATTTCGCCTCCTCACCAGATGCCTGCTATTGCATCGGGAGGCCCCGCTGGAGGCCCCTCGCTGGTGTCTGGGTAGTTTCTGAATGTGCCCAGCGGCCCACGCCTTCCCCAGGAAGGGGTTCCGAGGACCGGTGGCGCCTTGCTGAGCGCGCTGGGCGGCCAGAGACTGGCCGCAGCTGGGCCCCTTCTGCCGAGCGGCTATTTTCTTTAAAAATAAAAAAGGGAGAGGGAGGGAGGAGGAAGAAAGGAAAACAGCGTCCACAGCTTGCCGCCTGGGTGAGGGTGGGGGTAGGAGAGAATGGGTCGTTTTTGGTAGATGGGATGAGACCAAACTGCCCCATAACCTCGCCTCCTGCCCTCAGGTCTCCAAGGAGGAGAAAGTCTTGTCCTTCCACCGGCGCCTGCGATAGCTTCGCATTCCCCGACTTGTCACTGAACTCCTACTTGAGGCAGGAAAAGGCGCCTGGAGCTTTCAGCTGC